TCTTTCTTTCTTTCTTTCTTTCTTTCTTTCTTTCTTTCTTTCTTTCTTTCTTTCTTCCTATCTCCCTTCCACACAGACACCATTATGAACGAAAGTAGAAGGACTTGGGATGGGAATTTTGACCAAAGAAATACAGGCATGAAAATGTGACAGAATAAATATGTAACCATTGTAATTATAAATATTCTCAGGCCATTGTAGTAGAAGTTTGTCCTGCAGACATCATGTGACTGTCTAATCACCATCATGGAGCAGAAACAACCTTGAAAATGAAACAAGCTAAATGATATAGTGACGGTTGGGTCTATGGTGCCTGTGATTGCAATAGTGCTATGAGTAAATCCTATGATGTTCTGGGGAGGGAAAGTCAAAGGTCTCTCAACCTGAGTCCCAGCCATTGCTCTCTCTTACCCCGGTTGCATACAAACTTGGCAGGTGCTGGAGTTGACACGATGTGGAAAGGTGACTGGAGGCAGAATTCCACAGAGCAGCTTCCATGAGCTCTTCACTATTTTGGTCTGTCATCACTGTGTTGTCTGTAACGGATGGGTATTTGTCCATATCATCCAAGGAAAAGACCACACAGGCTACTTACTTTCTCTATCTGTTGTATTATTTTATCCCTGTTACTGCCAGAATTTGCTACAAGCCTTTGAAATCCAAATCTATTCCATTAACTTGAGAAGAAAAAGAGGAAGACATTCCAGTTTTGCCCTAACTTGTGTTGAAAAGAGAGACCGTGTTGGCTACCATTTTCTGGGTTAAATCCAACTTAAAACTTAGTAGCATAAAAACACTCATTCAATTATGCTTTTATTTCTGTGACACAAGAATTCAAAAGTGACACCATGGGAGTGGTCTGACACTATTTCATGATGTCTGGAACTTCAGTTGAATACTTAAAGACTGAATGTGACAGCTAAGGGCTAGAGACACACCCTGCTGTGAGCATTGCAGCGACAGGCATAGTACCTGGGCTAACAGGCCTAAGAGGTAGAGACAAGCCTGAACTAGGCAACAAAAGGTATACATGGATTCTCCCATAAGCCTGGGGCTTCTTGTCATTCTGTGCTAGCTTCTAAGACACAGTGTCTCAGGAGAAACCTGGAGATTGAGAACCAGGCACAAACTACAAAAACCTTGTATATTTGAGCTGCACGGACTATATTAGAACTATATTGCAACATTCCTGGGTGTATCACTCAGATCTCTGTCACTCTAAACAAAATACTTGAAGTAATTAACAGAGTTTAATTGGGGTCACAGTTTCAAAATCTTAGTCCATAATTAGTTGAGCCTGTTGTTAAAACCCAAGGTAGCATATACATCATGGCAGTAGAGTATGGTTGAACAAAGCCATTCTTCTTATGTTATGAAGGGGAAAATAATAAGGAATGTGGTCACCCAATTTTTTCAAGGCATAGTCCAACGACCTGTCTTTCTCCTGCTAGGACCTACCATCTGATGTTCTACCACATCCCAATAGCATCATACTGGGCACCAAGCCTTTACTTAGCATGTGGACCATTGAGGCCCATTTGGCATCCCCAGTGCAGCACTGAAACACAAAAGAGAAGTGGAGAAAGGATCAAAATTGAAAAGTAAACTGAAGGAGAAAAAAATAAGAAAAATTATAATGGACCACTTGTATCTGCCAAGTGAGTCTGCACTGAAGTTGTCTGATGTTCAAACACTAGCGTGTTTAACACTTTCCTCCTCATGTAGGTGATGCTGAAGGTGTACTCACTGCCTTTTGACTGTTATTATTGTTGACCTTTCAAAGTAAGTATTCAAGAACGTCTGTGATGATTGACATTCATGGCCAATTTGATACAGCCTGGGTGTGGTGATGAAAACCTTTCCAGAAACAAATGAGAGAAGAAGGGAAGAGCCACCATGCATGTGAGTGGTACCCTATCATGTGCTGGGATCACAGACTGAGAGAAACAGTGAAAAGTCTACCTGAGCAATAGCAGTGCCTTATTCTGCAAGCATTGGCACAAATGGCCTCCTGCCCCCAGGAACAGGAGCTGGCCCTATCACCAAGCCTCTTCCACCATATTGGATTGTATCCCTTGATACCCTGAGAGCCCAAATAGACCTCTCTTCCCATAAGTTGCTTTTCCTCAGGTGTTTTTTCAGAGCCATGAGAAGAGAAACTACCTATAAACACTCATGTTCACAGCACTCCCTCAAGTCTCAGTGTTTATAGTCACCTCAGATGCGTTTTTCTTTTCCTCATGATTGGAGATAGTGCCATGGTCCTCTGAGCTGTTCTTTTCCCACAGGCCTCTGTGCAGTCTAATGCTCTGTGGTCAGAAGCTCCATTTTATCTTTCAACTTGTATTTTGTGAGTAAAGACCGATCAGACAAAGAGCCCAGGGACAGAGGAGACTTGACATGCCACAGGGCTGTGGCCACTGGCAGGTGTAGACACAGGAGCAGTACACAGTAAGCACTCAGTCTGGTAGGCAGATTCATGCCATGAAAAAATCTGTGGAGCAAAGGAAAGCAAAAGAAAAGGAAGTCCTTTAGGACAGGCAAAGAATTTCTGAAAAGGATTCTAACAGCACAGAAAATGGCTCCGAACACGGGCAAATGGGATTACCTGAGATTAAAAGCCTTTTGTACCTTAAGAGAAACTATTAGCAGAATGGACAGATAGCTTAAGAAATAGGGGCAAATCTTCTCCAGGTATACCTCAGACAGGAGGTTAATATCTAGAATTTAGAAAGGGCTACAAACTTAAACACCAAGATGCAAATTCAAATGGCTAACTAATAAATGGGCCAATGGAATGAACAGTTCTGACAAAAAGGAAGGAAGGAAGGAAGAGAGAAATATAAATGCTCAATAAAAATTTTAAAGTGCTCACCATTCCTAAACTTTACAGAAATGCAAATTAAAACTATTTTGAGATTTTTACCTCTCCCTGGTCAGTAAGGCCATCATCAAGAAGACAACTAGCAAATGAGGTTGTGAGGGAACGAGAAACCCAGTTTACTGTTGGTAGAAGTATCATCTGGGGCAGACACTATGGAAACCATTGTAGAGGCTTTGCAAAAACAATTAAAACTAGGGCTACCATAAGACTTAGCTTTGCCACTCCTGGGAATGTACTCAAAGGACTCTGTATTTTACCACAGAGACATTATACAGCCATGTTCATTGTTTCTCTGTTCAAGGCAAAAGCAGAATCAGCTGAGAAGCTCAGCATCATAAGAATGGATATTGAAAGAATGAAATCTATAGGACAATATACAGAAGTAAAAAAGACAATGATATTAAAGGAGCCAACCTATGCTTGAAAAGGCAAATGCCACGTGTCTTTTCTCATGCATGGATCCTGTCTTCTAACTGGTACATACGTATACTCAGGTTGGAGTAAATGTGTGTACTGGCCAGGAGACTGGAAAGGTGGTCGTGAGAGGGGAAAAACCGAGGATTTAATTGAGGAGACAGGAGGCCAATAAAAGATACAAGATGCTGAATTCAAAGTTGAAGGGATAAGGGTACAGTGTGTGTGTGTGTGTGTGTCTCTCTGTGTGTGTGTATGTGTGTTAGGAGTTGGAGAGGAGTGATTTTGTGTGTAGGAACTAACGTGGGGCCTGTGGGAAATGCCATACAGAAGCCTGCTACATTGTAAGCTAATTTTAAAAATATATATTCATTTTTTTGTAAAAGATGTTTTAAAAAATCTGAAATTTTAGACTTGAAGACTGCTGTACCATTGCAAAAGAACAGATATTACAGGATTGGAGAAAGAATTAAAATATAAATATCACATAGCTTGATTTAAGTGTCCCAAAGAAGAAATTCTTAACACAGAAAACAAATTTCAAATTAACTTTTCATTTTAGTAGAGAATATAAGAGAAAATAACAAAGATAACAAGTGCATAAGCAGGTATTTTAAATTTGAATCTTTTTTTTTATAATTGTTACAAATGTTTCTAGATTAGAGGAGATACTGGAGATTGTAGAATGCCATTATAAAAATGTGCCTTTCAAAATAGATTTACAAGTTATGAATTTACAAGTAAGAACAAATTATACAAAAATGCACTTATTGGAATAAGGTTTTTGAATTTTATTTTCAGGAATATACTATGAGAATTCTCAACTCCAGCTGTCTGTATCAAATATATACATACAAACATACATACATGTATGTATGTATGTATGTATGTATGTATGTATATGGCCTATAAACCTTTCTTCACAGCTCTAACAATTAAATGAGCATAAAAAGTTCTTCCCACCCACAGCCAAAGATCAGGCGGAGCTCAGGGAATCTTGTAGAAGAGTGGAGGACAGAACTGAGTGAATCAGGAGTCAATAAGAAGACCTACAGAGTCGACTAACCTGGACCCAGGAAGGCTCACAGAGAAGGCTCACAAAGACTGAACTACCAACCAAAGAGCATACAGGGGCTGGACCTAGGCCTACTACACATTGTAACAGATGTGCAGTTTGGTCTTCATGTAAGCCCCCTAACAATTGGAGCAGAGGCTTTCTCTGACTCTTGTCGTCCTACCCTTAATTGGGCTGCCTGGTTGGACCTCAGTGGGAGAGGATGAGCTTAGTCTTACTGCATCTTGATGTCCCAGGGTGGGGTGGTACCCAAGGGGGCTGTCCCTTCCCTGGGGAGAAAGGGGATTAGTGGGGAAAGGGACTCATAGGGTGGGACTGGGAGGACATAGGTTGGGAGGATGGCGAATGGCATGTAAAGTGAATATATAAATTAATAAAAAGTTCCCAAAATTAAAAATCATAAAATAATAAATTGGCATTCTATATTTGTTAAGAACACTAAATACTTTCTAAACCTAGTCAAATCTGAAGCATTTTTGTATTAAGACAGTAACTTGTAATGACATAAGTGAGTACAAGCATGTAAGTAGGAAAACTCCAGTGTTCAGTTAATTCCCTCTATCAGTACAGGAATTCTGATCCAACATTATATCAAATTATAGCAGTGATATTTTTAAATGTGTAAGGTTTATGTTCTTTCTCCTTTATCCCTGTTATCCTTAAATTCCCTTAGTGAAAGATTTTAAAGAAGACTCACTTTTGAGTTCCATTCCTGACATTTGTTTCCTACTTTCATAAAGCTGACTCAGCAACAGTTTTAGTTTTTATCATCAAGCATTTGACCTGAGACCTGTGAATTTTGTAGCTAGCCTCATTGTGACTTCATACAATTTTTCAAATAACAGGTTTTTTAAAATTACTTTCTGTATTAGAAACTTTGCTGTTGCTGTGTTAAAACACCATGATCAAAGGCAACTTATGATAGAAAGACTATTTTGGTTTATAGACTGTAGAGAAAGTTTATAATGGTGAGGGAGGCATGGCAGCAGGCAGCCAGAGCAAGGAGCGAAGAGAGCATATCTTAAACTGCCAACAGGAAGGAGAGAGAGTAACCTGGAAGTGAGCAGGTGATGAACTCTTAAAACCCACCCCTAGGGATGTACTTCCTCCATCAAGGCTGTATCCTTCAAGTGTCCATAACAACACCACAAACAGCACCACCTTCTGGAGACCAAGTCTTGTAGTGTGTTGGCCCCTTGCTGCTTGTATTCTAATGCTAATTTGGGCTCCCAAAACTGGTTGCCCCAGAGAGTTGTTAATTGGCCTTACCCTCAGTTAATTGTGGTTAGTAAATAAAGATGTCACCAGCCAATAGCTGGGCAGAAGAGAGGCAGATGGGGTTTAGGTTTCACAGGCTGGAGATTGGAGGAGAGGAAGAAGGAGGAAGAGGAGGAGGAAGAGGAGGAGGAAGAGGAGGAGGAGGAGGAGGAGGAGGAGGAGGAGGACAACAGCAAAAACAAGCAGGAGAGGAGGAGAATGTTTACAGTCAAGAGAGTGTGGCCCTGAGGGCTGCCCAATTAGAGTTAAGAGCAGCCCAGATGAAACATAGTAAGTAGTAATAACTTGGGGTTATCTGTAGGTAAGTACATTCTAACAGCATAGAGGGTAGGCAGTTGCCCAGCTATTGTGCTGCTTAAGGCTTATCGTAAATATGAGGGTTGTGAGGTTTTGTTTGTTTGTTTGTTTTTGTTTTGTTTTTCCAGGAACTCAATACCGAAAGGTGGGGTAGAAACCCTGGGGCAGGATTTAAATATTTTCCACAACAAAGTTTTAAGTACCTGAGCCTATGGGGCACTTTTCTCATCCAACCAACACACTTCCCAAGCCATCTCCTTCCTTTCCTTTGTTGTCTATTATATCGACAATTACTCTGCCAAACAGGTTATTGTAATAGCATAAGTCTTTTCCTCGAATCCAGTCTTCCATCTGTATCAACCACAGTCTCTTGAACCTGATCATCTTATTTCCATGACCAAAAGTTACAGTCATTCCCTGTACACTTTCTCAACTACAGAAAGCCTTCTGGCTCCATTTGCTTTCCACAGCCTTCTCTTACTATTTCTTTAGGACGGTCATGTCCAGAGTCCACAATATGCATTAATTCCCTTCACTGGACCTCATAATTGTCAACAAGCTCCAAAGAGGACAGAGAGTACACATGGGTAAATGAATCAACAGGGCACACTTAGGAAGAAACGCTGCCGAGAGCTGAAGACAGTCCTTTTTAGTGTGCTTAAAATATCCTCAGCAGCATTAAACGACATTAACCCAACACTTAAGAGCCCAGCAAGCACACAAAAAAGCTGGTTCTTTAGAGGATTGTAAAAGATGAGATGGAAAGCCACCAGTACCGAGTGTTCCACTTGTTTTTTAAATAGATTTCAAACATAGCCCCTTCCATTTTACAGTCCCTCAAAACAGGTCAGTGTATCATGCATTAGGCTATGCTTGTTAAAATGCTTATTTACCAAACTCTTATCACATTGGATAGTAGCTCATTTTTTACATCAGTGTACCAAACTCTAAAAGTTTACATTTCCACTGTTGGTCATCCACTTGTTTTCTAAGTCTGATTTCAACTGCCTTTTCTCATTCTTTCAAATTGCCTCTAAACCCTGAAAATAATAAAGAAAACATCCCTTGAGTACTTAGTAAAGATAGCGGGTTTGATAAAGGGCTTTTGTGGAGAGGTGATGCTTGCTTTGAGATACAAAGGGTGAGTAAGATTTTTAAGCAAGGAGAGATGGAAGGGAGAAAAACAACAGCTGGTAAGATGTGTCACCATCTATTTATGACCAGTGCTGCAGTCATTGCAGACGGCCAGGTGTGTGTTAAAATGAATTAAATGCCCAGGCAAACAAAGGAAAGGACACATCTTGTGGATATCTGTACATCAGGCCAGGAATCTGTTACCTCTGCATTCATGAAAGGACCAGGAAAGACTGGAATGATGACAGCTTAATCGGAATTCAAGGATGAGGAAGGAAATTGCTTTAGCAAAAGGTATTCTGATGGGAGTAGAGAGGGAAAATTGAAAGCTGGCTGGGGCTTCAGTACTCTTTTGTGTACTTATTAATGGTTTCTTTAATTTGCAAAGCTTTTTCATTACTTTGAAGTTCACCATTATTTTCATACTAATCACATATCACACATCAAACAGGAGGCATCATTTTGAGAACAGCTTCATCAGAGAGCTTATAATCTTGCTCAGCAAATCGATGTCTTATCAACATGGCTGGCTTTGGTTGTAATACTAAATTGCCAATAGGAAACCTCCAGAATCTCCCTAAATATGGGTTTTGAGAAAGACTTCTGAAGAAGACTTGAACATGTTCTCAAAACTTCTTAACAAGAGGATGTCCATACGAAACTCACCTGACATCTAGAGAAACTGGGATGGTTTTGGTGAAGCCACACAACCACATTCAGACTTTTGGTGTTAATAGAGAAGATGGTACAGCAGTGAAGACTAAGGAGGACAGGAGGAGCTCCAGACCAGTCTTGTTTATATTTCAGCCTCTTACCTCCAGCTAGAGGGTATTTTGTCAGTGTTTTGTTTGGAAAGTTAGATTGCTCTTTGTTTTGAGCAGGAAGAACTCTATCCCAGGTGCTCTCGAAGCTACCCCAAGAGTCAGAGGCAAGACACTGAGGAACCTCCCTGAGTATGTTCTACTTACTGGGTTAGGTCTCAGAGTCAGGAGCTGTCCAAGCTGCTGGGCTAGGATTTAAAGAAAACACTACACATATATTTCCGAGTCAGGCCATATGTATGTGAGCACCCGGGAAAATTTTCAGGTCAATATCAGGGACAAACAGACATTGGCAGGAAACTACTGAAAGAACAAAGGTTTCTTCTCCATCTTGTATGAAAGCAAATGGAATTCCCTTCTGATCACTATAATGTCTAAAGCAGAGCAGGTGTTATGCACCAGTTCATTTGTAAACGTGGCCAGCAGTTTAATGGTTATGAGAACAGGCTCTTCACGTAAATACAGTGATGCTTCAAACAACAGTGCCCTGCTTTGGGATTCCTCCAGTCCCCATGCAACTTAGCCCAAGGTCCGTGGTGAACCTAAGCCCATAGCTCACATCTTCTCTCCCTTCCTTAATGGCTTGAAGTTCTTCTAGGCTGTGATGTAAGACACATGAAGTCAACACCATCAACCCCATGTAACCTAATGGAGCAAATTGTCCATCCTCTCCCTAGTGCTTACTCTATCTGGTCACCATGGTGTCAGGGAGCCACGTCTGCTTTTAGAATACTTTCATCTAGATGAGATTTACTGTCCCTAAGTGCATTACAAGTGCCTTCCCCGGATGGTACTTGGGCTGCCTTGCAATAATGTTTTTAAAAGCTGAATGTGCCAGTCCCTAAGGGCTTCTGTTAGTCATTTTGATTGCCTTCTGTCATTTTACAGATCAGTTCTCAAAATATGCTTCCCTTCATCGTTGGATTGTTAAGGTGCACATTTTATTTTAATATAAATGATAAAACATATTTCACATACTAAAACAATTCAAGGAGGGAAAAGCCTTGAAGATGAAAACCTTCTATTGTGGCCTAAATTTATTAGAATTTAATTTAGAAAAATAAAGCCAAAATCACAATTCTTACAGAGTAGTTTTTAAAATATTATCTTAGATTACTATAAAATGTGTGTGTATGATATATGTCCATGTGCATGTATGTGTTTGTTTAATGTATGTCCATGTGCATGTCTGTGTGTGTGATGTATGTCCATGTGTGTGTATATGATGTATGTCATGTGTGTATGTGTGATGTATGTCCATATGTATATGTGTGTGTGATGTATGTCCATATGTATATGTGTGTGTGTTTGTGTATGTGATGTATATCCATGTGCATGTGTGTGTGCAGGCACCCATGCCATGTGTGCACATATGGAAGACAGAGGAGGGTACCTAATGTCCTGCTCTCTGACTCTTCATCCTCTTCTGTCTCTGAATCTGGATCTTGTTACTTTTTTTCAGCTAGTCTGGCTACTCAGCTAGTTCCTTCAATACGCCTGTCTCAGTTTCCTTGAAGCGCTGGTGTTACAGGGCATGAACAACCACACTAAGCTCACGTTGAACAGAGGGGATTGGACGTGGGGAACAACAACAACATGAAAACATTTTGTCCTTTTTATGGTTCGATGATTTTTCCCCTGAAATTATCTGGAAAAAAGAAAAGCTTTTAGTTTCATTCATTCATTATTTAGACTCACAAATAACAC